CTCTTTAATAACATTTTTAGGCAGAAAAATCTGTCCTGATTTGCAGTCTTGAGGGAATTTCTGGCCACGGTTGGATTCCCCCCCGCCCCCATTTCCATTTATTTTAGATGTTTTTAGACAAAGGCGGAGACACTGGTCATTGTTCACATTGTTTGTTTGCTTATTCTCTGAACTAGATCCAAATGAAGGAGAACTCCTGACATAATTTTATTTATCCTTTGTTCTATTATGGAGAGAAGAGAGCTTTTCAAATGGAAAGTCCTGAATATTACAATTTTGGTGACTATTCAGACACCAAGAAATCCCAACTATGTTTAAATGTTACTACCTTTTTGTCTTTTTTTTTTTCCTTAAGAATAAGCACACTCCAAGTAATAGGTTTTTTTACTATGACTTGTAAAAAAATTATACCAAAAGCTGGGGGTGAGGGACAGGGCAATATATCAGCTAATAACACTGCTCCTTTATTAAGCTAAATGGAGGTCACTGACACAACTCAGCAAGATGTGAGCTACCATCATCATTTGTTTACTCACCTTGTAGGTGTTCAAGGAGGTAGAGGTTCAGTTTACCTCCTCTTGGCATTAAAGGATGACTTACAAGTTCCTGCTTGCACTCCTGCAGGCTAAGCTCTTGCTTTTGCAAAAAAAGCAGTCTTAAAAAATACTTGCCTGGGCCAGATTGTGGCTTTCCAGAGCAGAATCTGTTGAAAGCAGGGAAATGGGTACTCTGCCTGTCTTCTCAGTGATGTGGGACACAACAATGTCATTTAAGTCTTACCTATTTCTGTAACTTGGAATCAAACCAAGAAAAAGTTTCAGTACTTATAACCATCCCTCTGTTCAAAAGGGGACTGGATTAGAGATTTTTTATTTTGTTCCACGGTATAGATAAGTATAGCTATTTTCTGGTTATCTTTTATTAGATATCATCTGTTTTCAGGCATTTTTCCTTCTCTCAGCAGTTAATGTTATTGCTGCTCTTCTTTTCATACTCTGTCTGTGACAGCAAAGCAATCCTCTCGTACAGAATATTAATTGATGCCACATTTTCTGACATGCAAAGAAGAAAAAAATTCACTTTGTTTAATACATTAATCCACAAAATAGGTCCAGCAAGATGACGTGAAATACATTAGAGGTGACTACATAGCTGGCAAAGCAAGGATATTAAAAACCAAACTCACCCATAAAAAGTGAGACGCAGGAACCCAATCCTGTGGCCAAGTTTAACCAACTCTCCCTGTCTAGTAGCAGCTCCCGTTAGTAGCACGATTCCTACTTTCTTTAGGGTGCACAGCCACTTGTATGCACTTTCATCACTGTACATGATTTCTTCAAAAGGTATTTTGGGAAGTTGCAGATCTGAGCCCCAGTACTGGCATTCTGAAGACGAAGAACAGAGAAACAAGTGCTTAGCTGTTTTAATAGCAAACCTCAGGACATTGTCGAAGTATGAAATTAATAGGATTTCTATGTGTTTGTAAATACACCTTCAATCCTACAGTCAACCACTGGAAACTGGGTCCCTCATCCATCCACTGCTTGATGAACAATAAGCAATCTTTATGATGAAATTCAACAAAACACTGCAGTTAAAAACTTTTAAATCAGGAGTTTAATAAAAGATGGTATGAAAGTGATTATTTTTTTGTTTGTTAACAGTACATCAGAAATGTGTATATTCCTTTTTATGTCTGTACTAGTGAACTATGTCAGTGAACATTTGAAATAAGACTGCTTTGAAAGTTTTTTGTGTAGAGTAAAATAGCATGGAGCACCTTAAGATCTTCCTCAGAGGTATTGTTGCATGTATATATAATAATGAAAAGACGATATTCCTGACGAAGGAACAGGAGAAGACAGAAGACACATATCAACATAACAGCTTAGAAGCAGAGTAACTACATCAATTGCATGCGACAAATCTATTATCTTTTGTAGATTTGTCTTCATGAAATCACATCCAGTTACATTAGTCCTTAGGCGATGTGTACTGTTAAAGAATGTCAAACCAGTAGAGCACTGTTTCGAAGTTTCAAACTGTGCTCTTTTAAACATATCACCAAAACTGTAACTGCTATATGTAAAAAATGTAAGTATATATGGACAGATGTACACAGAGATTCAGTCGTACCAGCCAGAAAAGACAGCTGGAGCTCTTTTATCTTTCTGCTTCAAATGCAGCAGCATCCTGTAAGGATAAGTATGGCTCATAGTTTAAAACAGGTTTCAGTAATGTCCAGTGCACCAGGCGACTCGTGGGGGGTTGCAGGAGCAACTCAGTCTTAGATTGCCTTGAGGCCCTGTCTCTGCAGAGACGACCCGTGGGCAGCTGTGTAGATAGCTCAGCCCTGAGTTGTCTGGTAAGCAGGAAACTAAACAGGGCAGTGTTGCATCATTCAAAGAACCGAAACCTGAGCTGAGCCTTGAAATTCCCCAACAAATAGTATGCCCTGAGTCCCAATCAAACCACTATTGAATTGCCTAAAACAAAGGTAAGCTGGAGGATTTCTGTCTGGCTCCAAGGGACCATGACAATACAAAGATATGCAAACAATAGAGCATACAGAAGGGACCATCACCCAAGAATAACTAAAGATAAGGGGAAACACTGCTAAAGACAAACATCCCAGGTGGTCTAATCCACTCAGGCACACTCCTGCCTGCTGTCACGTACATCATGGAATAAAAACCCTAAGATTCATACTAGAAATGGGGAGTTACTTCTCCAGCCATGGAGTGATGAGAACCTTCCCCCTTGGTCGGAATGCTGGCCAAGGTAACTTACATGGGAGCCCTTACCTGGGGGACAGGATGAACTCGGAACCATACCAATGACTGGACGGACTGACGATTTTGCTCCCTCTCCACCCCCACCACTTGGGTCACCTTGTGGGTAAGATTATTTACCTCAGCTAATGCTGAGTGATATATATATATATTTTTTTTCCTCAGGTTCATATTCCCTGAGTGTATTTTATATATTTTCCTCAGGCACATATTTCCTGAGTGTATTTTATATTTTTCCTCAGGTTCATATTCCCTTAGTGTATTTTATATTTCCCTCCTCAGGTGTATTTCTAGGTTTCCCTGAGTGGATTCTTGGTTTTGGTATTAGTTATACAATCTTTAGTGTACCTGTAGCTTTTCAATTTATCACCGGCAATCCAAAAGAACCTGTAAACGTTGCTGTAAATAAATGACTACTATTTGTTTCCCGACTTGCACCTGTCACATATTCGGTGCCGGCCTCACAAGACCGGATTTATTTTCCCCATTTTCGCAGCATATCCTCATATCCCTCAAATAAAACTGAATGCGTTAGGTGCTGTGGAGTAGGCAGGAGAGCTCCTGCACACATAAGCCGAGAGGCACTGGCGCAATGAACTGTACCCATGGGGCTAGGCATGGGGATGGCCTCTCAGAAGAGTTGGTCCCAGTGAACTCTACATGAACAGGAGAGACAGGAAACCAGGCACCCTAGGGTGCATGTGGGAACGACACACAAGCCACTGTGGAGACATGTCAGCCAGGCTATTCAAGACTTGACAGACCAAATTGGTAATTGGGTTCTCTGACATGCTACTCAGAAGAGTATGTCAGTACAGGTAAACAAGGTCAGGTTCAAGCTCTGGGAACCACAATGGGGTCATTTGAGGTCGAACAATAAACCCCATGGGGTTACTAGAGGTCCAAATTCCCCTGGGGACCATCTTGGGGTCACTTGAGGTCAACCAATTAGTCCACGGGGTTACTAGAGGTCAATCTTATGCTTTGGGAGCATCTTGGGGTTTTCTGATGTCACTCATTGGCCCACAGCATTACCTGAGGGCAAACTCATCCAAAGTAGCCAGTGGTGGGCATTATTTGAGGTCAACCTTCCCTTCTGGGGATCATGCTGGGGTCATCTGAGGTCACTCATTAGCCCACAGGGTTAAGTGAGGTCAAACAGTCTCTCTCTATAGGAATCATCCTGGCTTATCTGAGATCAACTAATTAACTGTGGGGTTACTTGAGGTCAGGCTCCCTCTCTGGGAACCACAGAGTGTCTGAGGTCTATTAATTGTCTTAGTTCTTTAAACTTTTCATAACTGTGTATGATGGGGTTGCAGTTCAGTCTTGCTTGTGCCCAGGTGCATTTATCAGGTGCAATCTTTTCCAACACACTCAGTAATGATGCGTACAATTTTTAGATGTTTTTCACAAGAGCAATCCAGTGCTGCCCACGCTGCCTGCTGGAGTTTGTTTTCTGATGCCTTCTCCCTAGGAATACTGTTATTATTTATACTATTTTTTAGTGACTTAATATTTCCATTCTTTTTAATTCAAGTAAATAAGGTTTCTTCTCCATAAAGAGCTTTCATGCAAATATTTGAAACTGCTGGCATTTCAGCTATAAGGTGTAGGATTTGTGACATACTCTGTTTGACTTAAGACTTTCACCCTCAGCTCCCACAACTATGTTGTTGAAAATGATCAGCATAATCCTATAAAAAAATCATACATTTTGGTGGAAAGCATACCAGTGCCAAGAACAATAATAAATTATCTATGTAGTAGTACGAAGAATAAAAGAGACAGGTTTAAAATTATTTTCATGAGAGCTGTGAATTATGAGAAACTTTTTCCCTGCAGAAACCAATTTGTAACTCTTACCAAAAGAAACCAAGGCCATTTTATTTTTAATCATCAAAGCAAGGTGTATACAGATAAGAATGAAGGTTATGGCTCTCTGCATGGCTGAGTGCCGAATGGTTCTCTCTGAGACTGCGACTGGAGAGATTCACAATGTCCTCAGTGGACAACCACGGCTTTTTCCTCCATTCCTCCATAGCAAGATCCTGCATCTTTCTTACCCACACAGCTCAAAAATGTGCATGAGACATACGGAGGAAAATGCTATAGCATTAAAACTTCTGGCAGAGCTCTGTGAAGAAGGGTGCTCAATAACCCGAGGCCAGTGATTTCAGTTTGCCTTGCCCATGTCCATGAAACATTTTTCATCAGAGAGCACAGCTGGAAGACCTCTCTGCCACTGAAGCTGCCTTGGATTTCTCTCTAGGAGTGCTTCACTTGCTTCTAACTTGGGTAAATGTTAACCATTTGGGCTGAGGTTTTTCCATAGCAGTATCTGCCGAAAATAATTTTGGGAGAGCTTCAACAACAATGAAAATGGATCAAAAGCCTAGATCAATCAAAAATAAGTCATAACCAATTGGCTTAGCAGAGAAGTTTTAGTGCTTTCATTCTTTCAAGTGTAATGTTTGGCAAATAACTTAGTCACGTGTTAGGAATGTACTTTTGCCATTCCTGACAAACCCGTAAAGTTTGGCCAATGTTTACAGCTTTGGAAAATATCACCTTGCAGAAGCTCCACAGGCATTTTTTCAGTTTGGCAGACAAACTGTACATATATTCCTTTCACACTGAATATGCTCCAGACCTTGGGTAAAGGATATAGCAGGACCATTGCAAAACACAGATGAGGAAAGTAACTTCCATGTAAAATTAGCAGACTCACAGGCAACAAGGCCAAATATAACACCAACTGTGTGCTTCAAAAATTGTGTAACCCTGATTTCAAACAACCAGTCCCCTGGGACTTCTCTGACCTGTTGATTTCAGTATATTCCAAAGTTTGAAAAGAGTAATAGTAATAGTAATTATATTGCTCTTCCTCAAGTGATGGGATGTTTCACTGACTTCCCCACACTGATGGACAACTAAGTATCAGCTCACTAGTCATACTTTCCATTATTTCATGCATAATTTTGCTCAAACTCAAATTATGTTCACATCATACCAGCAGTATACATGACATCTAGGAAAGAAACCCATACTGATAAGAGTAATTTGTCCATGTGAAGAAGCTAGGACAAATCAGGATGCTGCAGGAAGAAACACTTTATTAAACATCTGCTTAAAACTACTCTAGTCAGGTGTATTTTAAGATTTTCAGAGATATTTGCAAAATCAAATTAAATCTATTCAATAAAAGGCAGTGCTGTAGCTCTTCTTTAGTGCAGGCAAAAACACATAGCAACTAAATACCATGATTCTTTATTTTGGCCTGGGGGAGCACCGTAATTTATTCCCTGAGGGGTGACTAGAGCAGAAGGTGCTGAGGGGAGGGGTGGCCCAGGCCCAGAGAGCCTCCAGGTGCCCAGCCCTCAGGCTCTGTACAGCTGTACCCACAGCATTGGACATCTGATGGTCCTCTGCTTTGCTCACACCACCTCTCACACAACCTGCTACTACCCATTATGTTCACACAGTGTATTGAATACTAATTCACAGGAAAAAAATTCATTTTATCATTGAACAGAGCGCAGGCGAGCCTTTACATCCCCTGACCATGACAGCACTCTGTCCCCTCCACTGAT